ATATGATTCTCGTATTCATAATAACTTTTCAAGTTATTACATAGAATGTGTGACGTAAAATAAGAGATGTAAAATTTCTCGGTTATTCTGTACTTTAAACATTGTCAACTGTTCCTTTTTCGCTTTATTATTCTCTTAAAAACACTGTTGTTGAAGTTTGAAAGAATAGCCTAACGCTCTCTCTACGTACATCTTGTCTTATAAATGAAAATTAACTTCTGTACCAGTGCGTTTAGAATAACTCATGGAGTCCGAAGGTTGTCTGAGACAAAGTACTCTTTTTTACAGCCCATTCAGAAATGATTGATCGATAACCGTATTATGCGTTCTCAAAGATAACTGGTCACAACACTCTCCTACCGTGTAAGTGCCTTGTTGCTTGTGCTTTTGTTTATATTACAATATTGGAAAAAAATACAAGTGAAAAGAGGAAGGATGTCTTATTTTGTAGTTAGAAGGGTGCTCTTCAAAATCCATCCTGAGATCAGCTCAATTCACTCAATCATCTTTGCGCTACAATTGAAATACTAAACATCCCGAAACTAGGCATGTTAATTTTGAGCTTACTGCATTTTAATTATAAAGTCAAGATGTTAAAAAAAGTTAAATTGAGCTGATCATAGGGCGGATTTTGAAGGGCACACTTCCAGCTATAAAATAAGACGCTTTTCCTCGTTTCACAGTGATTTTATCTAATATTGTAACACAGACAAAAACAAAAAACGGTAAGACACTTATACGAATAGGAGAGTTATACGATTTTAAGGATACCTCCCCATGTTGCTTATTTTTATAGGAAACCGTCGGTTAACCGTGGTTCGACGAATAACCGCCAATTGACCGCGGCTTGCTATAAACCGTCGATTAATCGCGGTTAACCGTCGATATTTTTGATATCGCGGTTTGGAAAATTAATCGCCAATTGGCCGCGTTATTTCGAAGAACCGACGGTTAATCGTTTCTTTTTCAATCACCGTTTTGTTTTGTGGTCACTATATGTATATAAGGACAACATGATTTATCGAAAAACTTCAGAATTTTTCCATGACTTCTTGAAATGTGAACAATGTAAATTTGTATTGTGTAAATATCTTTCTCAGACTGCATCTGAGAGTCCTCCGAAGCAAATAGGTACTGCTCAGTCCAAAACTTCACCGGTATGGTATTGTGACTAACCGACAGTTTTACTGCTATGAAACATATGAAAGTTCAACACTCAAAAGAAAAATGAAAAAATGCTCGGAGGATACCGCTTGCTCACCAAAAAAACCGTCAATTAACCGCAGTTAACCGAGCATTTTGTGCTGATTTGCGGTTAATTGCGATTAACCGGACGGTAAGCGCACACTCAACCGAACGGTGAACCGCGGTTCATGGACGGCTTTTTGCCGGTTTGATAAACATGGGTCCTCTCTTCTTTGAAAAAATTTCTATTTTAAGTTGCACATAGCCTGATGTAGAGGAAAGTCTAGACTACAAGATGAATCTACTTCCAGCTTTCCACTTATTTTTTGAAGAAGTTCTGAATTTTTAAAATTTTTTTCAAAAGCTTAAAAACACTTTCAGAAATTTTCCTCTCGTTTCTAGCAACTTGAAAATATTTTCTTAGCATAGATGATAGAGTAAAATGTTCTCTTCATAATGAGGCATCCTCTGAAGTTTTCCGATAGTTCTTCACAGAGATATAAAGATCAGTGCAAATGCTCCAGAAAAAGGATCCTGTCTAATGATATTTTTAATACTAAAATGATACTTAATCACGAACGGTTACAAACTAGTCACATTATGACGCTCGAAAAAATGATCTGCTCGATTCCAAATTGTTATCGCAGATATTTCAGTTTCTATCTTAAATTTTAAATTTTTTCAAAGCGTCAAATTTCGGCGTGAGGCGATATTTAAAATCAAAAGTCGAGTTTTTATGTAGGAGTTCCAGTATTTTTTTCGACTATTTGAACAAGAAAAATATATTTTCTGAAAAAAAAAATTTAACCGTAGTGTCGATTTCCATTGTACGTGTTTTTTTAACTATCCATCCATGACAAGTAAACTCTCATAAAACAATGGACGTTATTGTATTTTTGTGGAGAAAGAAAAATTCCACTTTAATTGTATGCACTAAAATGTCTAAGTGTCATTAATATTATGAATAAGTGAATAAAATGATGTAAAGTAATATCTATAGTGTATACATATATGAAACACAGATTTTCACCTTTTGTTTTTATCCACACTTCGACGACATTTCTTCTATTAAATGTATTTGATATTGGTTTAAACTTTAATCTTGAATCAGATTGAAATCGAGAATATAAATTTCCATTATATCATTTTGAAATGTAAAACTATCAAAACACAAAATTAATTCTTGTTATGAGCTAGGATCGAACATACGAACTTGATCTTTGCAGACGAACTGCAAAAATCAACTTAGGTCAAGATGTTCAAGGTTATAAACTTTTTAATATGTTTCAACTATTTGAAGGCAAAACCATATATAGATTAAACTAATAAAAAATATTTGTCATCATATTTAATAAATTCAAACATTAATTTGTTTTTTCGTCTTTACATAAATTATAAAGAAAAAGAATTTATTATGTTTATATTTATTTCATTTTTGACAAAAATACATTGTTATTGCAAAAAATATGGATTGTATTTGATTGTTTTACTACATAAAAAAAAAAAAGAATATAGAAAACGATAACTTTGTTTGATAACATAGGAATGTATGCCACTCGTATGTAAATAGAGAAAATTTCTTAAAGTAATTTAATAATGAAAAATGATAAAATAACCGTACAATAAGATAAATTTAGTTAATCTTTCTAATAATATGAATAAAAATCTTTTTTTCTAATTAATACAATTTGTCTAAACAAAATAATTAATTATAATTTTATGGTAGAAGAAGAAGAAACGTCAAATGAGGCGTATACCTCATATTCATTGCATGATAATATAAATATTTGATTTAAATGAAAGTAATGTTAGTGATATAAGTATGACACGTATGAAAAGACAGTCTATAAAAGGTCAAAATGACGGTAATTTGATATTATATTTGTCAATCATAGAGATTAAATTCAAAATAATAAATAATGAGTTAGTGACAATTTTTCAAGGGTTTGACAACTACAAATGAGCTACTTAATATTCTGTTATATTTAATCATTACACTTTCTAATTTTGAGTCTTTATAACTTTTTATGAGTGAAAGTATTTATGACACATTTGAAACTATAGACACTATAAGAACACGTTCTTCATGAACAACTTGAACTGTGTAACTGTGTATATGTTCTATAAATACTAGTACAATGACTTTTTTTTCAAACTTAATAATTTTAAAGAATAAAATCGTTATTTTGTAGACAAAACATAGGATGGGAGACAGTATACTTCAATTATTTTTTATTCTGAAGTTTGATATTTGGAAACTAGAACATCTAAAATTAGTTCTTTTATTCACAAAGAAAATGAAATTACTGCTCTTTATGTAGTAGCATTATTCTTCAATTTTGCGCGAGATAGTATGTTGTCATTTTCACAGTCCTTTAAAGAACTTTTTGCACACATTACAATAAACACTATACCGTTCTATACAATCGTTTAAATTCATGTATATACTCAAATGTAATTATCGGTCAATTAATAGAATTAGCAAAGATTTTTAACATATGCATATATACTTAAACGCGCATTATAGCATAGCATTAATAACTATCTATGACACAGCGCGCAAAAGACAATAATCTATTATATATAAGTTAACGGCTAGTCATTTATTCGTCGATACGGATGATCTGTTTATATAACGTCATAAATGTATGTTTTTTTTCTAAAATATCACAAGATTAATTAATGCGATGTTATATTTTCATATTTCTAGTACAAAATATTTTCATTACTATAAAGTAGTAACGCTAATGAATACTACAAGCTTACTTAACCACTGAAAAAGTGTACCATCATTAGTCTCAACACCATTGTAAATATGTTTAGTTTAGTTAGCTTGCTCTTGAAAATGTGTCTGACCATAACTATATGGATTCTAGTGTTTCGTATTGTGATTATGAAAATGGCTTATGTTTTAACAACAATTTCGATATCATCTGTCACGTGACATTATGAATAATATCATTTTACCTACGTCAAATTCATTGAACTGGTGAATGAATGACTATGTCTGTCTTCTACTGAAACATCGAGAAGTTTACAGAAACCAGATTACCTTTTTTATTCAAACTAGTACAGATTCTTTTTGATTGTGCAATAAGTGTTAAATATTTTTTTCTCTTACATGAGATTTTAGATGTTAACAAATTGCTTTTCTTCCGTAACATACATTGATTTGATAAAACATAGAAGGTTGATTTTTAAGAAACAGAACATTTAATAATGATTTCAGTAAGTGAGAAAAACTGTTGAAGCGCATAGTCATAAACTATTTGTTTATTATTGTGAGAAAACCTCGTGTAATAATGTAAGAGTAAAATATAAAGAAAAAAGAAAAAACTAGCAACATCAGGTAAATTGCAGGTTGAATAAATATAGTTTGATCTGCAAACGCCATTTTATATACGGAAAAGAAAAAAAAAGCGAGAAAGCAAAATAAGACAAACACCTTTTTCTTATTAATGAAAATATGTGTTTGTAGCAGGAAAAAATAGCGAAGAAGGTATGTCGTTTTTGTATGAGTGAACGAAACAAGACATAGTATACTATCCTTATTTATAAGTGAACATAACAATTGTTAGTAGATAAACTATCAAAATTGATCTAAAATTTTTAATAATTTTTCTATTTTGTTTTAGAAATATTGAGAATGCATAAGGGATAATAGTTATTGAAAAACATTAATATAAACGATCAAATTTACTTTTATTATTTTTTACTATAAATTAAAACAGTGATATATATTTTTTTTTTATTTGTCCGATACTTCTTATATTATTACAACATTATCAATTATGTTAAAAACTAAAAAGACTTCGATGCGAGACAAAGTGGCACAAGTTCGACAACAGATTAGTTCTGATTTTACACGTGAACAAATTGAATTAGCATTGCTACATTATGAATCAAATGTTGAAGATACAATTGAGGCATTTAAGAAAAGTATGTAGTATCAAATATTTATTTAAAATCCATTTCAGTAATACAATAATGTATGTTATATTTTAGATGGTGCTAAAGATGCCTTAAGCGGATGGACGGAAATGAATAATCGTTCATCGGTAATTAAACAATTCTTTTTTCTCTCTAATTTATTTAAAGGTTTTTTTGTTTCCTCTTCAGACATCTTCACGTCGTGGTGGTGCTAGAACACGAAACAATAATCGTCTGGTAGCTTCACCGACAATCTCATCATCTTCTACCTCATCACAAATTTCACATGTCCCTATGAGACCTTCACAACTTGTTTTAAATGTATTTAATCAGTTTGCGAACAAAACACAACCTGTGACATCAATTACAAATGGTATAGAAATAGAAATACATACAAACAATGGAAAATAAATAATTTTTATTTTCCTTTTTAGATTATTTTAGTAATAATTCACCTGCCACATTCTCTACATTATCATTACCATCATCCTCACTAATAGACAGAAATACGCATGTGAATGAAACACCATCGATTTATACAAATAATAATAATAATACGTATGATCAACAACAATCGTATCTTTCATCGTCAACGGATGTTTCCTTTCACCCTTATTGTAGTCACGGTAAGTTCTATTGTTAATTTTGAACTATCTTTCAAACGTACACAGCGTAATACATCATGTTATGTGCTTTGATATTAGTGTTCTACAACCGAGATAATAACTGTTAGACGTTAACTTTTTGCTACAGTGTTTACTTTTCTTTTACAGAATCAAATAATTATGATGAAACATTAACTACGGATGATTTACAATCCTCGTTAAATAACAAGAATATGGAATTTTCTGATGCCTGTGACGATTATTCTTTGAATAATCCACACCAAACGGTTGAAGAACAAAACGATCTTATTATGGATAATAGTGATGTGAATAACAATAAAGATACTGATCAAACTCAAGTCACACGAAATAGTCATAACAATAAACATCAACTGCAACAACGACGACGACACAGTTTTCGTAATACAAGAAATCGTACTGCATCGTCATCGTCAATGAATCAAATACAAGAACAGATACAACAACAATCAGAAGATCAAACGTTTGCATCAGCAGCAGCTACTACCACAGCCACAACAAATAGTTCAACGCAGCAACATCAAGATGTTAACGGGACAGTAGTGAAAACAGCATCTAAAACAACTCTTATGAATAATAAAAAAGGTAAATGCAGTTATCATTTTTTCATATTAATTAAAGAGAGGTAGACTAAACTACTATTATCAGTCAGAACCGAGAATTTTTATACATAGATTTCGAAACACACGATTTTTACTACGATTGAAGCCTATGCATGCCACCAATTCTAATGACTTTAACGAAATATTTCCATCCCTGGAAGGTTGATTATTCTTTTATTGTCTTTGTAATTTTAGTATTGGGAAAATCTATTAAAGATTTACAACGTCAAACATCAACATTAACAAATGTTCAATCATCATTTGATAACGAAATTAAACAATCGATTAAAAAAATAGATGAAATATTTAAACAATTAACGGTCATTATAAAAGAGCGTGAAGTACAGTTATATTTAGAAATGGATGATGTTAAACAACAAGGTTTAAATTTAATAAATCGTCGTCAGCAACGCGCTGCTGAACTACGCGGACGCGTTGATCGTTGTGATCGTTTAGATAACTATGGTATAAATGATTTACGTAATGATATTAAACAATTTGTTACAGATAAAAGATATGATTTGGCTGATGAACTGAAAACATTACATCGTTTCGAATATGATGAAAATATCATTAATATATTGTCAAATTTTGGAAAAGTACTAAGAATTGATAGAAAAGAGAAAGATCGAACGCGTACGATTTCGTCACACGATAATGCATCGAATAATACACTAGCTAATGATGTTATGGTCAAGGACAGCAATAATAATGATATTTCGCAGACGACAGGAACTATATCTGTAGGCCAAACGTCAACTCTTTTGGATAATGAAGAAGCATCTGTAAATACTATGAACGCTGTAGAAGTAACTCCTAATGACCAAAACAATTATCGAGCACTTTCAACATCGTCATCGAATGATGTTCAATCTCCAATACAACAAAAACCAAACATGAATGGAAAACCTCAAATAAGAGATCGAGCTACAGCCATTTATATGAATAATCATAATTATGTAAATGGAGATGAGCAGTATCAACCACAACACGTACTAGGAGATCAACAGTCATATGCCAATTCATCACTCACAAGATCTCACCAACCGCTTATGTCTTCGAAAAATCATCCGTATGGAAATTTTTATGGGAATGAGCCTCCAAATGGATATAAGCAACCAATGATGGCATTGTCACGAAATGGAGTTGCTGCAATAAATCGACAACAACAACAGTGGACTAATGACGTTGATTCTTATTATTATCCTCAAACAAATGGATATAATAATGATGGCTATGAAGAATCAAATGGTTATTATGAAAATTTATATAATGTAGATATGAATTATCCGCAGCGTAAGTATAAAAAACGTTGTAAAAAAATTCATAGAGAAGTTATAAAATTCTTTCTTTACCTAGAAATGTCTCTTAAGAATAAAAATAATTAATTATTTCACGGCGTAATTTTCCGTAAAGGATTGTTTTAATTTTAATGCATATTTTTTTATCTCATTTTTGCAGAAATAAACAATCGACGACGGCGAGCTCGTGGTGGAAACACATTTCAAAGTAGTCAACAATTACCGTCACCACAAATGAATGGCGTCGTGAATTATTTTGGACAAGGCACTCCTAACGGTAACCGTCGTCTAAATGGAAGCGGGCGAATAACTCAGCCTAACAGTAGCAACAACAGCAACATAAAGAGATCAAACACTCCGCATAATATATCACCCTCAACTTACTCTAATAAAAATATCAATACTGTAAATAACAATCGTCATTCAAATAATAATGCCAAACAGGTAAATGATCGTAATGGTTATGTAAATGATCAATCACCACCAAAACATCCACATAATGGTAACAACAGCAATGAGATAAATGGTAATTTTAGTCATACGTCTAACGACTATTCGAATCACCGACAACAGCAACGATCTAATCAAACATCGACAAATATATCACCCCAACAATAGTCAATAAATTATATGCTTTTTTATGTTAGTTTACAGGTTGTTGTTTTTTTGTTGTTTTCATTGGTGCGTGTGTGTATAGATATGATATTTGTATACATCAACCCTTAATTGCTGTGTATGTTTATATTGATCTTTTTGTGCAATGTTTTTTTATTATGTATTTGTCCAAGTTTAAAGTCTTGATAATTTTCGTGTTATAAACACAACAAGAATGATTTTCTTTTCGTTATATACGCCACTAGTTTATTTATTATGGCCACTTTGTCTTCATTTTAAAAATTCTATTTATTCATTCTATACATAGACTATACATATAATATGATTTTCGTTCGTTTTTTGTTTCCTATTAAAAAAACAATTAAAAAAATGGATCATGGGCTTGTTATTATTTTTTTCGTAGGTGGAGACGGATGAAAACTACCCATAATAGATAAAATGTGACTCTGTCATGATGATTTTTTTTCCTATGCAAACATTTTTATCATTTCCTATTTTTAATGTTATTTTGTTTTATTTCGCTTTTATCGCTTGTTCTTTATGATTACATATGCATCAGTCTCTTATAACTTTCACACGTTTTAATTTATTTGTCATTGTTATTGTTGCTCATAAAATCGGCATAAACATACAACTGAATGGTGCTGCTGTTTTACAATAATCAACTGTGAGAAAAATGTCTATCAAGAAATGCTCAATTGATGTTTGTCTCGTGTGTGGTTTTTGTTTTTTTTTGTTTTAAATGAAAACGCAGAATAAGTTTTACAAAGATAATACGTGCAACTGCAATTAGTACACACGCATACGCACAGTGATTTTTCAGCTTCTATCCTCGTTGCTTTTACTTGTACAGCGCGTGCTCGTGTATTAAATTTTTGTTCTCCGTTTTTTTTGTGACTTTTGCAATATAGAATGAAAGAAAAAAAAACACCAAAGAAAAAAAATATTGAAAGAAATATATGATCTTATAAGACAAACAAAATTTTTGCTACTGTTGTGGTTTGATACCTATAACTAATTGACTACTTCTTTGTTTGGATCTTCTTTGTTGATTTTTTTGTTGATGCGTCTGATTTCGGTAATGATTGAATGAATCGGCTGTAATTCAAGTGAAGTTTGTAGCAAAGTAGTTTATCCGGAAAAATTATTGACTTACAGATAATTAACTGAACCATTCTTTGAAACTTTTTTCAAATAGTTCCATAGAATATGATCAAGTGTTTTATCCAGTGTAATTCCAGCTTCAGCAACTGCATTCGGAAAGTCCTCTACATAGATTTCATATAGTACTATACCGTGCTAGAACAATCACAAACATTATTGAGAAGGTACTCATGTCGTCTATTTTTATAGAAAACCGTCGGTTAACCGCGGTTAGTCGAATAACCGCCAATTGACCGCGTTATTTTGAAGAACCGGCGGTTAACCGTTTCTTTTTCAATCACCGTTGTGTTTTGTTGTCACTATATGTATATAAGGACAACATGATTTATCGAAAAACTTCAGAATTTTTTCTCTGACTTCTTGAAGGGTGAAATTCGATTTAGTCTAAATATCCTTCAGACTGTGTCTAAGAATCCTGGCAAGCAGACAGGTACTGCTCAGTTCAAAACTACACCGGTGTGAGACTGTGACTAACTGGCAATGTTACTGGTGTGGAACTCATGAAAGTTCAACACTCAAAAGAAAAATGAAAAAAATGTTCAGGCGGGGATTTGTACTGATGCCGCTTGCTCACCAAAAAAACCGTCAATTGACCGCGGTTAACCGAGTATTTTGTGCTGGTTTGCGGTTAATCGGACGGTAAAGCGCACACTTAACCGGACGGTTAACCGAAGTTAATTAGCGTTTTTTGCCGGTTTAATAAACCTGGGAGTTTACTGTGCAAATGGAGAAAAAACGTAGGTACTAATGTCTCGACTAGTTCATCTCATCTTACCTCCTCTTCGTCCCATTTCTTTAATGCTGTTGCAAAGTCATGGCCACCTATGAGAATGCATAGACAAGACGTAGACTATTGAACTCAACTGCTTTTTTTCATAGACAAACTTTCTTTTGCCATTCTACCAAGTATTTTGAATGGATCACGTTGAAAAAAGGCATGAAGTGTTTTTTGATCCAAAACTTTCAAATCAACATCGTCCATTATGGTGAATCCAGGTACTAAAAAAAGTACCGTTGTAAATGTGGATGTTTTGTTCACATTGTTTACCTCCTGGATGTAACCTGCCGAGTCTGCCTCGTACACCGCCATGAACTACAGTTAGCGAACGTAAATACTGGTTGATCTGTGTGTATAAATCTGTAAAATCATCATTAACCAGAATATTCTAAACAATGAATCTGATTAATTAAAAAGAGAAATTACGGACAAAATTAAAATAGTCTGTAAACCGTTGCGAAATCTACTTGATACGTAGCGCATATAAAGCTTAGTAACTCACACATGCCATATTGTGAGATACTCCATATTGGCTAAAAAGTTCTGCAATACTAGTATTTAAATACTTTTTCGCAAGTGTTGCAGAACTGTTTGGCCAACCTAATATTTCATAAAGTATCACATACTTCTAAATTCAAATATTCAACTTGACTATTAATATGATCGACAGCTTTTAGTAACATTAGGGAACCCAAAGTTTCAATATGGTTATTGCCAAACTAGATAAAGTATAAGTTTGTTAATTATCTCTGAAATTTTTTATGAAATATTTACCCATAATTTTTTAATGGTTCGATTTAATTCTAATTTTGATGCAAATATAGCTGCACCATCTTTATCGATTCGATTGTTTGATATATTTAATTCTTGAATAACGTCATTTTTAGCTAAAACATCAGCCATTAATAGTGCTCCTTGATTTCCAAGCCCTTAATACAAGAGAAATTTGTGTTTACTCTAAATAAATACATATAACAAGCTAACCATTCATTGATAAATCAAGGTTTTTCAATGATCTATTTATCTAAACAGCAAAAATATCGTGTATTAGATTATATTTCTTCCTTTCTACATACTTTTAATCCATTACAAATAGGTTTAATATCATTTTTGTGAATCTTGTTCCAACTTAGATTTAAAATGCGTAATGATGGTGTATCCTCTTTGAATAACAAAAATACTGTTTATTTAAAATCTCTAAAAGGAGAATCTTCTGTTTTTCTTTTACTTAGAGCTGGTCCAATTGCTTTGCAAGTCTTTCCATTCAGTCCGTTGCCTTCCAAAAGCAACTCATCCAGCACTTCACCGCCCTGATAAAAATAAACTACAGTTGAAAAATATATGTGATTTTACAGATTTTTCCATTATACTTCGACTATCTGCTTCAAAAGTGAACCATCTTCATCTTCAAGTTGACAATCTAACAACAACAACAAAAAAAGAAAAACAGAATTTTTGATAGACACATATATAATGGGTCAACATTATTCATTTGTTACTCGATAAATCCAACTTTGATATAACGCATGTTTTTGCTTTATTAAATAATAGTACTATCTTGGCTAATCCGGATTTTTTTATTGGATTTTTTGATAAATCCTAAATGATAAGCAAATTCGACGTTCTTTCTATCTTTCATATAAATTCTGGACATGTACACACTAGTTCATTAACACTGTAACTATCTTTCAAAATTTCGTGCAAATACGTGCAACCACGTGCGGTAATCTGATTGTTACCAAAACGAAGATGTTTCACTTTTTTGTGATTCTAAAACTAGATAATAGATTTTTGTGATTCTAGAACTAGAACATGGCTGTAAATGACAAATTATTTCACTGACAGTATCAATGTATAGAGATAACAATTCTATCATGAGAGACCTACTCTTAATGCAAGACAAATTGCTTTTAAATCAACATCATTAATTGACATTTCTTGTAAATTCAATTCAGTTGTTGCTAAACCGTCAATGACAACATTTCGTGGATGAATTTTGAATTGTTGACAAGCTTTAATATAAACCTGAACAGGATCACGTTTATCTATTAGATTTTCTAAAAATGAATCCGTTTAGAATTTGTTATCTCTAAATTAGACGAATGTGTTATCTAACCAGCATCATCCAAATCAGAATCCATATCCTCGTTATTCCATTTCAATTCATCGATTACTCGTTTAAATTTGACATTACGCTTTTCATTTTCTAAATTAATCTTAATATCATAATCTGACAATCGTAAATCTGGTAATGAACGTGATTTAAAATAATAATCCATTGTATCAGATATACTACAACCATATAACTTTGTGCGAAGTTCTGCATCTTCCAGTATGGCATGCGATGGTAGAAAACTGTATAGAACTGGATTTGTTAAATCTCCCGTATATTCTCTAGAAAGATGATTTTAATAATTATGATTTCTAATGACTCGGACTTTTCCGTTGTACCGTCGGCTTGCTTTGTCACGTTCTTTACGAACTTTGATAGCTTTTCTTCTGCCTTCGTAACATAACATTGTTAAATATTATGGCAGAGAATAAAGACATGTGTACTGAGCGAAAATACATATCGGTAATTAAATTTTTCACCTTGGAGCGCCATTTTTTTAATGATACTAGTTCTGCAGTAATTTTCCAAATATAAAACTATGTTTTATAAATATAAAGCAAGGCATACTCCGTTTTATTAATAGCCTTTCTACCCTAAAGTGAAAAATGGTATACCTATAGGAACTTCACAAAGAGTATAAAATATTCTTTCCACTCCAGAGAAATGAAAAATTCTTTCTTTCAGAAAGATTTTTGGAGAACTCGCTATGGATTTTTCATTTTTTCTTTCGGACTTTATAGAAGGATAATCTGTCATAAGAATTATAGAAAGTTCAATATTTTAGTCTATTATATGAAAAACTGTGCATTTTTTCAAGCCATTAATCATTATACACAATTGCTCAACGTTTGCAACAGTTTTTTCATCTTGAAGTTTAGCTTTCTAATGAACTTTCTAGTGGCTGGGAGCACCTTCCTGTAGCTATTGCAAAATATATTTAAAATTAAATTTAAATTCACAAAAAAATATAATTTAGTGATTTATGTGCAGCTATAATTTCAAGTGATTCAACTTATTATAAACAATTCTATTGGTTTCGGGCTTATCGGTAAATTACCGTACTATGAAATTGACTTAAAAACAAGACAAAAACGACGACGACGACGAGGTCCCGAAGAATTAAGATCGCAATATAAGATGTGTGCTTATTGCACTAGATAACGCGCATCTGCAAGTCACCAGACCCATGACTTTAGTCGCGCTGCATTTGGTGGTCGTTTATTACGTGAGCGAATGCATTCAGTATTATCTTCCTTAATTTTAATCAAATTTCATGTCTTATTGTTTTATTCAACTCATAAGAGTACAGCTCATGATATATATAGAAATTTTTTCATGAATTGCTCATAATTAATGAGAATATTTAATAATACTGTGTAAATTCATTACCACAATATGTGTAAAATTACATCAGAATATTTAAGATCATAGAGCCTGCTGATTTTGAGTTATTGAGATGCAGTTTTCACATATGTTGTAGATAATGACATGATGAATACCTTTTACCTGAAGAGTATGTCAGAATCTACTTCTAAGAAGTACCAGAGGTTTGTTTCAGGAAACTCCATGTATATGAATGGACCGGTCGGAATTACCCCATGTGGGGTAATTTCGGTCGGTTTGGAGGTTCCTGTCTCCTTTTGAACACTGATCGAAAACGGAGATGAATTTTTAGGAAATTTTTACATCAGCGGATAGAGAACTGTTAGTTCTATCTTCATATTCAATAGCACGCTTATCCGATTAAAAACGCCTTAGAAATACGCAAAATACTAAGAAACTTTGTGCAGGTGGCCGGAAATACCCCATATGACTCTATCTATTACGTTCTGCTACAGAAAAGGTTCTCTTATAGAAAAGATGCGGTGATTCGCGTTGCTTTATCTCCGCTTTATAACGGCCAGCATTGCGAAAATTTTTTGGAGACCTCTTAGACATCTCAGGCATCAGATACCATGCTTACCGATCATTTCTCACCGAGAGCAGCCCAGAATTTGCTGGAAACTGTAACATTTCCTAGAAACCCCTTATGTGCCTAGAATTGCTAAATCTACTCGATTACTTATACTACGGCATTTTCATTGTTTTAAGTTAAATATTTTCTTGCTAGTTTCTCAGAAGACATTAATCGCATCGTTCACCCGCGCCACCTATAAGACCGAGAAAAGGAAGTATGCTTAGCTCACTTTTAGCTCAAAATGTTGTTTGTTTGTCTCATGGACATTTCTTCCTCATGCTCTCACATGTACTGTAATAATTCTTGCATTGGTAGAGAATGATCCATAAAATACCTATGATCATTTTTCCGTGTTTTGTGGAAAGACAGAAAAAAAACTCGTTTGTAAGATCCTAGACCGAAGTCAGGGAATTTCTATTGTTTTCTTTATAATTTGGGATTGTTTTTAATACTAAATGTGCAGCAGAAATCTTTCTTTTTTATTAAATTTTAAATTACTTTTTCCATAACTAAATACTTTTTCCTTAACTAAATACTTTTTTCTTAACTAAATTAAATTTTAACTTATTCTAGATAGAACAAAAATGGCCGTATGCCATACGTCGACACGAAGTCGAATTTTATCAAAACGTCATTTCAATGTGAGTAAAATGATCATATAGTTACTTTTAAATTTTCTTTAATGAAATATGTAATTTTTAGTGGAAATATTGACAGGTATCTTTTCTTTGTGCTCATGTGTGACTTAGATTTACGTGCATGCTGGAATATTTTGGTTTGAAGTAGAGTGATCTGATTTGATTTGATTGCACTATATCTATAGTTCGTGCGGTTATAATCTTGTTGGAAATTTCCCTTTAAAAAACAACTGTTGTAAAATAAAGATATACTATCAAAGTTCAGGAGAGGCGTTCTTCAAAAATTGATTATTTTGAGGGAATGCTATAAAAAATGAATTTGGTTTAAAAAGTTACAAAATCAGTGAGAGAGAAGAAAAACAAAGATGGAATTTCGAAGATGTAATGTATGGTCTAACGGCCAAGAAAAAAAAAGTGCTGCCTTTCGTGATTCTTAGACGTTTTTTTGGGGCAAAACAAAACTGCCCCAAAAATTCGACGGAATCCGTAGCAACGACATTGCATGGCCGTTAGACCAGTAGAGAAATGCGCAAGACTTTCAAAATAAACGAAAAAACATTATCTGCTACACGTGTGTAGGAATAGATGGCTAACTTGTCAAATATAAATAGTTGCGTATGAAGAAAAAGAGGTGACAAAGTGGAAAAGAAGTATAAAAAGTGATTTATACTATTCTTATCTATTAATAAAACTTTTCAACTTTTTCAGCCTACAAGTATTCTGTCATCTTTGTCACCATTGACATCGAATGGTATGCTCAAATCAACTGGATGCAATGAATTTCAGCACTTGTATGCTACAGAAGCGTTTGACAAAGTCTATAATTTATCAGAAGATCTTGGACGGTAAAATTGAAATCAATTACTGTGACTTTTGATCTGAACTTCTCAAAGGTATTTTTTTAGTGGAAAATTCTCAACAGTAAAAAAATGTATAAAAAAAGACGATAAAGACAAAGCATATGCTGCAAAATTTATCAAAAAACGTTACGTTAAACATGCACTCAACGAATTACGTATTTTGGAGCTATCACAAAAACATCCGTGTCTTATTACATTGCATGAAGTCTATGATTTACCATTAGAGGCAATTTTTATTCTAGAATAGTATGTACTTAGCAATAGTAACTATTCGACTACTAAACAATTTTCTATTTGTTTTAGTGCACAGCAAGGAGACCTTCAATTTGTCCTTGAATTAGAAGGATGTCTTGATGAATCAAAAGCTAGTCATGTTACAAAACAGCTACTTGAAGCTGTTGAATTTCTTCATAATAATAAAATTGTTCATCTTGACATCAAGGTTGGTTGCTCGTTTATTTACTTCTAAAGCTCTTAATTTAGGTATTATTCTAATTTCAGCCTCAAAATATCTTACTGATGGAGAAATGGCCAAGTACAACCATTAAACTATGTGATTTTGGTCTATCAAGAATATTAACAAATGAATGTATACATGAAATACTTGGCACAACCGACTTTTTAGGTAAGCATATTAATTTGAAGTGAAAGAAAAGTTCGTTGAAAAACTGTAACATTTTCTTAAAACTATTTTATTTTTCTCTTGCACTATACTTTGTTCATTTTTGCGTCCTCTACCACTATGACGAATAATTTCATAACTAAGATTGTTGTATTGAAATATTTTCTTTTGTTATAGCTCCCGAAGTTGTTTCATATGAACCATTGACACGTGCAACAGATATGTGGAGTATTGGTGTATTAATTTATGTTCTTGTTACTGGACACACTCCATTTGGTGGCACGAATAAACATGATACACATAATAATATCACACATTGTATATTAGATTTTCCAGTTGAATTATTCGACAGTATATCAATGGATTGTATCGATCTGATTAAAAAATTAATTGTTCGCATTCCAAAGTAAGTGTGTATCTCTTCAAAATCTTTTAGAAAGGAGAAAAAAATGCTTTGATCTTTTTAGACAACGAGCATTAGCAAATGAATGTTTACAACATATTTGGCTTACAAGATTACCAACAATAAATGGTGTATGTAATGAAAATGAACAAAGACCATCAAAAGGTGGGCTATCAGATAATCAAACTGATTCTGGTTTTGAATCTCCAATAACAAATAGTCTTGATCGGTCATTTGATAAAATAATAGCACATAGTATTGAAAAAAATACGAATAAAAAAAATGGCGACAATGATTTTGGATCACCAATTATTGATATAATTGAATCGATTAAACATTTACATATTATTCAATCCATTCCTATTTCATATGAGGATGATGAGGATAGTATAACAGTACGACAACCTTCAAAAGATAATTATGTTTTTCGACTTACTCCTCCTTATTCCGGTATTTCCTTATTGTCTTCTTCATCTCCTCTAACACCGTCACTTTCTTCTGATATTCATATACTTGATGACAATGTTTGTGAGAATTTATCATAAAAAAACTTATCAATATTTCAACAATACGACAAAAAAATGAGAACAGTTATTTTCATGTACAGAGAAGAATTCAAGATGCAGAATTTGTAAATTTTCATTTTTTATTCTCTATTTGTCCTTTGTTGTTATATTTTTTTCACTCATTTGTAGATGACACGCTTCTAAATAATCTTTGGACAATCAGCTTCCCTCATAAGAGCTTATTTATTCTCTTATATTTTCGTTCCGTCCATGTTGTTAATAATTCGAATAGCCTTAATTTGAGAAGTCATTTTTCCATTACTTAACACTCATGTAGTTTAAGATATGCCGATACGAGTGCAAAATGTTAGGAACTCTTTTGGATGACGAAAATGTTCTTGTATATTTATGCGTAAATCTCTATTGTGATAATTTTCCTCTTTTAAGAATTTATCTTAAGTTGTTTGACTCTACATTTACATCTTTTTTTTTCAATTTTGTGTTTTGTGCATTATATTTTTATGTGATCAGATACCGACAAACAAAATATCATACGATAATTTTCTCGATATATTTCTCAAAACAGTAGTAGAATCTCAGATCAGTAATCTCTTCTCTCATGACAATTTTTGTCTTTGTCAGATGGCAGCATTGTTAGATTAGATGAATAGATCATTAACTAGTACATTTTTGTTTTATAGGTGTTCGATGAGATAAAAAAATTGGTATGTTTTTTTGACATCCTTTTGAAATACGCATGTAAATAATCTCTAGTTGATTCTTATTCCCAATTTCTTTTGTGCAACAGGTTTTTTTTTCCATTGCATGTTATGTTGCATTGTTTTACAAGACAAAATGTTTGTTTTAAATTCTGATTGTACTTCTTGAGTTCCGTTTGTAGAAATATTAATGCAAATGATCAAATATTATCTTGCTCAATAATCAAGTGCAGTATTCGAACTAGTATATGTTTTTAAAAAAAACCACACACTAAATTATTCCATGAATTATGAATATTTCAAATAATTTTTTTTGAATGAAAATCTGTTTTTCTCTCTGTTTTGGTTTTCTTGTTATCTCTTCAAAATATTTGATAAAATAAGTGCCTTTCTCTTTCTTTGCTTGTATAAAAATTTTCTTTTAAATGTAAATAGAACATAGACGGTAGTTGAATGACAAATAGCGCAAAGTTGTGACAAGCTTTTGCTTTGTCTTCCATAGAATTAACCATCACATTATGGTGCTACGAGTAGTGTGTGTGTGTACTTCATGTTACTAGATATAGAACTGAGTGTACCGTTTTTTTAATTATTTCTCAGGTTGACATGTTGGTTGTGTCTTGATTTTTTAACTTTTGTCCTTTTTATAGGTTTTTTGCATTTATTTGTTATGCGTTTGTTTTTTTGTTAGTTTCCTTCTCTCACACTGATGCACATTGATATTGTAAAATAACTACAATAATATATCCATGATGTAATTTCTGACAGTTTTAGAGTGAAAATAAATAAAATAAAGCCACTTCGATGTTACGATAAATACAAGAAAAATTACATTAAAATCAATTTTAGAACGTCTAAAACTGAAAGATTAATTGTTTAAGTTCAACAACTAATATTTTATTAAAAATGCAGAGGTTGTCGGTTGATAACTTTAATCATTATCAGCTATATAAGTATACTGAAGAACATAAGACTGCATATGTGTGATTTTACATAGTTTCTTCTTGAACAGATCCAAACTTATACACTGCAAGCGATGAAAACGTGCAGTTATTGCAGTGTTTCTGGCATTACGTTAAAAAACATAGATCATAAATAACTTTGAGTAAAAAGTAAAGGTAAGACTGATGCAGTTCATTTAAAAACATCAATAGCTCATGCAGTCAAATCATGATGTTTCCTCGTGCATAAATGTCTCATTCTTTTTTTCCAGTTTGCATTTTTTACTCGTAATTTTTGTTCACGAAATTTCGCTTTGTATCGAAATGTCATGGTCTGCAGGACTTGATTATCCTTCATCTCTTACATCATCTTCCTATTGTTTCATTATTTCCGCGGCTTCCTATCAGTTGTTGGCTCATATTTTGACTTTTAACTTTTATATTTAGAAAACGTAATTGATATGTTTATTCTAATTTTCAAGTAAATTAATTTGAACATGTAATTTATTTCTCCAGTCTAATAAATGTACAACGTATACTTCTGTACCATCAGTAATCAAAATCATATCGTTGACGTTTACTTCTATTACTTTAGATCCGTTCTTTCCTGTTACTAAAGTGAATATAGCATTTCTTCAGTCTTACCACCAACTTGCCCAAAAGATCCAAGTCTACAAGTAGGTTGGCGAGATGAGGTAGCAAGCTTAACAATTTACACATTTCGAACGCCAGTCAGATAGAGAGATTTGTTCGATTAATACCACCAAATGTTCAATTGTTCAATTCAAATGTTACAATTTCTCTGATAACCACGGAATGTATTTATCTGTTTTCAAACGTTGAAACAGTAGATCTTCTAATTAATTCCGTTTGTATAGTCACTTTATCCACCCAATGCGGAGAGGTACGCTGGTTTCGCAAAGTCCGTACCACGTTTACATCGACTTTATTCGCATAAGCTGAAGTCCTTTGTAAATGAAAGATCTATGAGTAGGATTAGCATAAATCGAGTTAGAAAAGTTTGGAAATATTGGCATCATAGAACATCAAATCTTAACATTTGCGATTTTTTGTGTTTAGAAGACCCAGTAACACTAAACTTTTGCCTGTTTAAGCCGGTAGTGAACCTTGAATTTTTATGGAATATATAGTAAAAACTTAGGGCTTTCTAGTGGTATAATCGAAAAAATTTCAAAATGTTTTGGAGATTTTGAGGTGGATTTCGAAAACCCGATTGAGCAAATGAAATCGAAAAATTCGAGTAGATCGGTGGGGATTTTTGAATTTTTGCCTGCTTTACGCTCGTTTCGTTTTATAACCTCGAATTCCCCAGGTTGCTTTCGCATATTCTCCGTACTTATTCGACATGGTTTTCAGATCCCACAAGATATGATTTGCGTTGGTGTATTAATTTACGTTCTTGTTACTGGATATACTGCGTCGTTTTTGTCTTTTGAGATTTGCTTTCCAGCTTTACCACAACACTTGTGGAATTAACCTAGGATTAACAACATGTCTGGAGCTTTCGGAAAAGGGATAATGTGTTCTATTTGCAGTACGAAGTTAGGACTGTATTTAAATAATGAAGAGAAGAACTCAGAATTATGCTTCAAAGATCGTTGTCCAATACTTACGGTTAGCTTCGGTATTTTTACCAATAACTGCATTCTTTGAACTTAGGAAGCTCGCAAAATTTTTTATACTACTACAGTTTTATGGTTCGCTATTAGTTTATATAGGCAAAAGTTTAGTGTTACTGGGTCTTCTAAACACAAAAAAAAGCGCAAATGTTAAGATCTGGTGTTTTATGATGCCGATATTTCCAAACTTTTTTATTTATGCTAATCCTACTCATAGATCTTTCATTTAAATAGGATTTCAGCTTATGCGAATAAAGTCGATGTAAACATGGTACGGACTTCGTGGAAACCCGCTGTAACTGTTCCAAAATTCTTAGAACAGGAACTGTACCGTTTTGAAAATTCTCTACCGGAACGGAACGGCCATTCTAAATTTTCCATTTTTTCATAGTGAAAGGCTAATTTTATTCAAGGAAACACTCAAAATGACACTGGTTAAAACGTTTTTTTAGAACGGAGCGGCTTGGCTATTCACCGTTACCAGTTACAACTCCAATCTAATGTAACAAGCAAGCATTCGATGGTAATGAGTAATCAAATAACCGGATCGAGTGTATTGGATGAATCAAGACGAATATAATTGTGCGATGCATTCTTTATTGCAAATTTAAGCCAAACAATCAAAAAAGTTTTATATTGGACAAAGACCCAGATCCTATTAACTCCTCTCCTGATTGCATTGCTGATGTTGTCGTTTGTGTTGTTGATGTTTTTGTTGACTTTAATTTTCCGTCTTTTGTACGTGTTACCAATATAATTTGGTTTTTATTTGTTAATTTCTGTTGTACTGGGATTTTAGTATATTTTCAAACTCCTTTTCTTCGTGTGACTGACGCCCTAATAATAGTTTTTTAGATGAAATTGGATAGATTGATAATTACTTTTTTTTTTTATCAAAATATCAATTGTGAAAATACAAATTCTGAAATGTTCAATATCTCGAAATAACTGGGATTGTTGTAAATGCATGCGGTGCAATATAATCCCAGTATGCGATTTTCTGTGCGTCGAATTTTACTCAAGCTCATCTCTCTGTTTAAAATACTTTACATATCCAGCGTGCCTCCTCCAAGATAACGTATAATTAATCCTCACATGATATTCCGCTGAATCCATTGATACGTCATCTACTTGTTTTGTATATTTTCTCATAAAATCTACATGGTATAGCTGTACCATTTCAGATTTACACTTCCATTCAATATTGTGAATTTTTTATTCTAATTTTTTATTTTCTAATTATTTAAATTATCAGATCTATCAGTTTGTTTACAGATGTATTGATAAATTCAACGTCAAAAGTGTATAATAATTTATTTTTATTTGGCTGACATCGTTGTATTGACATAGTAAACTGAATTGAATCTTGAACATGTAATTTTAGTGTTGATCTTGCTTCGATCATTACTGCAATATTAACAATGTAATCAAATTTCGTTCACGAGAGGACAATCCTCATGCCTGAGTGGATCAGAAAACATGCGTGAGAAAAAGATAATGTTTTACAAAGTATCTAAGTAATGAACAAACGAGAAGTACATTCGCGTACATAAGATGTTTATTGTTTATTAGTTTTCAACTATTTTAAAAGAACTTTTTAATTAAAATACATTTGATGGTTTTCTCCTTCATTTATTTTTGTTTATTTTGTAATAAAAGAAAAGTATCAAATATCTCATAAATTTGAACTTAGATTTTCAATTATGTACTATTTACTCACCATAACGTTCATATTATGGTAATTGTGTCATATGCTTAAATCTTAAGAACAATGATGAGTGATGACAATTATGAAAGAAGTATACCCTTATCACTTGTATTACCCAAAAGTGAGCACGAATTAACACGAATTAGTTCATCGATAGAACAATTGAATAGAATAAAAACAGAATCACCTATAACAACTGAAAGTGCTGAAAATATTTTACAAGTAATACCACTAAACGAAGTGTTTACCAACAGTGATGATCCTGATATTAACATTAATGAAAATCATTGTGTGAAAGTATCAGCCTATACACCACCAATCAATAGTCAAATTTCAACAGAATCTTCCGTGCCTAAATTGAAGAATTATTTTACAATTAATTCTCGTTTATTTTATGGACTCATCTTATTAATAGGAATTATTTATTCAATAATAATAATTAGTTTGGCAGTTATTTTAAGTAGAAAAATTGCATCACTCACCAATGTGTGTCCACAAATAACTTATTGTCCAATGGATAATTCTTACATAGTCATCTGTGATATTTTAAATGGAACATGTAAATGTTATGATCCAAATGATAATCTATTTGGTTGTTTTTCTCAGAGATACTATCAGCAAGGTTGTTATCGAGAACACGAATGTTCATCAAAATATAATTTAATGTGTAATTTAAATATGTATCAATGTGATTGTATATCACGATATTATTATAATGGAACGATATGTCTACCTTTATCATCCTATGGTCAAAATTGTTCAACTATCCACAATTATTGTGATTCTAGTTTAAATCTAACTTGTATAAATAATCAATGTACATGCAATACAAATATTACATTTTGGAATAATCATTTGTGTGAAACATATCGATCAGTTAATAGTCCATGTGATCCATATTCAACGATAACAAGTGGATGTAAAGCACCTTTAATATGTGATAATACAACATATAGTTGTCAATGTTCATCAAGTAGTTCATCTTATTTTGATGGTACAGTATGTTTATCTTATGGTTCTTATCTTAAACCTTGTTATAATTCATCGTTTTGTTTACCATCAACTCTTCTACAATGTGTATATGGTGTGTGTCAATGTGATGATTACTCGTATTGGAGCGGTAATTATTGTTTAAGTCCAAAAATTGTTCAATTGAATGTATCATGTACAGATCAATCAGCTTGTGAATATGATTATGGTTTAAAATGTGTAAATAATATTTGTTCGTGTGAATTAAACTCATATTGGACATCGGGAAATTATTGTGATACTCAAGCAACTTTCGGAGAACGTTGTCAAAATAAAAATTGCACTACATGTTCACAATGTGTTAGTTATACAAATCTCTATTGTTCGAATTCAACAAATGTATGTACATGTCCACAAAGTAAGTTTACTTAGTTAACCATAATTTTAGAGATAAAATGATTTTTTTTTCTTTTAGATTATTTTTGGGACGGATTTGTCTGTCAACAACAACGTCTATTTCAATCCTTTTGTGGTGTTGATGATACATGGTGTCGTAATGATTTAGGTTTGAAATGTCTCAATTATCTATGCTCATGTGCAGTATGTTCGACATGTTTTTGGGATGGTATTCGATGTCGTGATTGTCCGACATCATGGCAGATAGTTAATGCTACCAATGCCACTCGATCTAGAGTCTACTGTTATAATAGAGTCAATAGTTATCTTGATTGGACTCACTCATCATTGGCTTGTTTGAATGTAACATCGTTTTTTGGTCCTACTAGTCATTTAGTTTATATCGATGATAATCAAGAATTAAGCAATGTGGCAACATTTGCCACATCATCGTATTATGATATATTTATTGGTCATAAATATAGTTCTAATACTTCACAATGGTTTTTGGGCAATGGAACAGTGTCACCCACAATGCAGTTCTGCGCATCCGTTCCTACGTCATTTACTACTGATCAATGTGCACGTATATTAATTGGTTCTACATGTATTACAAATATTATGTGTTCGACTTGGACATCAAGATTTGTTTGTGAATTAGACTAATTTTAGAAAATTAATGATTAGAATGATAAATGGATATTAATGATTGACCAAGTTGAAGAGAAAATTGTTTAATGCTTAATTTTTCTAAACTTGTTAATGATTGAATTAGAAGTTCAGTTAACAATTAACAAATATATATTTCTTTTGATGTACAAAAATAATTTGTACTTTTTTATTGGATGCTTAGAAAGCATAATAGTACATAGTAAGAAATTTTTATCACAATTCAAAAATAAACGTATAATCTTGTACTTATCAATTCTCTTTCTGTCAACTTTTTTGGAAAAAAATTTGCTTCTCATTTACTTTAGTTAATGCAATCATATACATGAATGAAAAAAAAAACATATGAAATTTTTATCCAGTACGTGATCGATATATTAACGCATTTTCATATGGATGTAAAAAACGTTTGTTATTACCTTGACGTATATTTCTACCATTGTTGGCATCATAATAAAATATTTGATTAACAATTTGTTCTATGATATTTTCAATCGTTCGTTGACCAATACATAAATGTTTATCATCCTGATAAATTACATCATTTGGATATGTATTTAACCAATTAGCAAGTATTATATAAAAATCTTCTGAAAAGTCATTTTCATTTGTATTTGTTGATAAATGGAGTTGTTGAATAGCAGCAGCAACCATATCATCTTTTTCTTCTTGTCGATTTGTTCGTTTTCCCAATCGTGGTGAAAATGGTGAAAAACGTTTGTCATCAAAATGACCTTGTGTATTCCAGAATGCTCTTGAAATGGATGCACGACGAGAACGGAAAATGTTTTTGAATGACGATTTTAGAAAACATTTTGGCCATGACAAATCACTAACTGATGACGAAAATTGTTTTTCTAATGATATTTTATTATTACTATTAATAATTGGGGAAGATTCTATTGAACGAAGAATAACCACACAAACAAGAAAATATTGAGCTAGAAGTAAAAAATATAAGTAAATATGGACTATGATTAATGACAACTTTAAGAGAATCCTCTGTTACTCGTTCTTTCATTCAACTGCCGTAATTTTGTCAAGGAGAGTTTTCAACAAAGGCCTAGGTGGAACAATCCTATTGGAATTCTATAAGATCTCGTAGGATCTTATGAATTCTTGTAGGATTTCTATAGGAAAGTGATATATGTTCGATCCATCGAAAAATACCTATTATTTCTTATGGCAAGATTCAAATAGGAACTTAAAGGGAGCCTATAGGATCGGTGGTAAAATTATATAGGATTCTACACTAGGCAATGATAGAAATTTATCGAAATTCCGTATGATCATATAAAAATAAGATGATAAGATTCGTTGACTAGTCAGTCATTTTTGTCCTACATTTCATATTTTACGATCTTAGGGGGCTGATAGGTAGTGTATGATTTGTTATAGGAAATGCCACGCGTTCGTATGGCAGAGATTCTGCAGAATCACCTATGACAGGATTCTATCTGATTCTACGTAAGCATTCGTATGTTTTCCTCCAGTCATCGGATAGTATCAGATTCCTTCTAGAATTTTTGGATCGGGGATAACGTCTTCCTAGTTTAATATTAAAATCATAAACGTCAGTCATCTCACTGAAAATCCCATCTGTAGTTGAGAATGGATATTATTAAAACAAATAACCGTATTTAGGTCGTTGTTTTTCTCTCTTAGTCTACGATGGGACTAGAAGTAAAGTAAAATCTCTCAATTTATTTGACAAATTTGATGATCAATATCGATAGGGCAGTTTTAGTTTGATTGAATCTTTCATACGTGACTATCTAAATGCTTTGTTTAGTGATCACTCTTTTTCGGTTCCAAACGTAAGAAAATCTCTCTAAAGTGACCAGATGCTGCAGATAAGCCAGATCGATTCTTTAGCAAACGGCTAAAAGAGTAAATATCTGAATATTATATACCAGATAATTTTCACACGGCTCGTAAGTTGCTAATTGTTTGCCAGATTAGAGTCATAAAGTGGACTTACCCACTGAAAATAATTGTTGTTGATACATTTGCGTGTTGCTTCTGTGAGTAGACTTCAACAGGACAATGAATGATGCCAGTAAATGTAGTATATTCTTGTTTTTTCTTCCTCTGTATTGTCTATTTAATAGTTTGAAAAATAATCTTGCGCTCTTACTCTTTTTCTTTTTCTACGTCAATTTGGGAAAAAAGTGTTTCAAACACATAGGTATCACTTTCATATACATAAATTTCTAAATTGCATGATAACGTGCCTCCTACTTAAAAGAATAATAGTTTTTCCTCTTCTCTATGATTTGATTTGTCAAAAAAACTACAGTACGACGGAAAACTTGGCCTTTTAGAATATTTAATTTTTTGTTTTAAAAAAAAGTATAGGTTTATTATTCGACTACTTTAAACGTTTGTCACAAGTCTCAACCGGTATGCTTTGTAACTGAAAAATACATCCTAGTGTGATGAAATTTCACTTTGAATAGATAAAAGAAAGAGGAGAGATAAGATCTTTTTACAATTCAGGATTTTTCTTCAAATATAATACGAATGTGGCTAGTAAATAATTCTCAACCAAATTGTATAGTCAAAACTTTAAAATTTTTGAAAAAATCTTCGCCTGTGATCTCCCTGATGAATGAGCAAACTTGATATAAGGGATGAAGTAGCACGCTACAAAATAAATTTTCGGTGCTTTCCATAAACATTTTTTAACACTTGTAATATCGATATTGGTTATTCGCATGATAAATTCCATATAATCTGATGATGTTTACTTGATATTTAAAAAAAAATTCGATTTTACTCGGAGATACCACTGGTGATGATTTTTGTCGAAGAATTTTTAACAATTTTTTGCAAGAACTCATCATCTTCATTCTTAAAACGAAAAAGAGTATCGGTTAGACGCTTTAACTTTTTGTATTTGATTTTCAAGTAATAATATCATATTTTAGATGACTCCACCATTCTTGACAATGATGAGTGTTAAGTGAGATACTCCAAGAAAAATCTATGCAGTAGTCTTCTTGTTGAATTGAGTTTTATATTATGTACTTTAGTTCCATTAGAGAAGGTACGATAAAAATAGGAATCAATCTGTTACATCTTCAAATAGATGCATTATAACCACGTGTCTCTATATGCGTGGGTACATAAGGGAGTCATTTTTAAAATTTCAAATGTATTATTCACTAATTCTTCAATTAGGTCTATCTATTTGATAAATATTTCTCTTTAATGAATACTTGATATATTTTTGAATATGTGATGTCGTTTTACTTTAAAGTTTTTGATACATAAATAGTTTAATGTTATTAAAAGATTTGATACAACATCAATTTTTAGAATCTATGAACACAATTAAAGTACTGACATAACAGTGATTACACGTGTCATCAAATGTTTCAGTGTTTCTTGGACAATGATAGTATTTCAGTGTAGTTCAGTTGATAAGAATGACTAGTGAAAGTAAATAGTCGAGTATAATATAACAAGCATGGACGATAGAAAGCCAAGATACATTAAAATATCAATTAATTCCACTTATTAACAATACCAGTAGTGGTATTGGATATATCGCCACTATTACCACTAATTTTTCTTGTACTCCTAAAAGTGGTATAGAATACAATTCTAATAACAAATTAGATGTTGAAGGATAAAGTAACAGTATCGATGGTGTCGATTTACCACCAATATCATACCATGAAGGAAGTGGTACACTGAGTGTTGGTAGTATTCTATTATTAAATGTATTTAATAAACATTTATTAAAAGAGAAAGTTGACAATGATAATGGGCTCTCTTATGCTACGCTGAATTCACCGTCCATTATTTAAAAGTAATGAATCATCACTGATTCAAACATCATCCACTATTGCTATACTGTCACATATCTACCATCAAATATAATTAAATATCAGTTTAACTTCTATTATAACAATGGATGATATTCAACATCTATGTCATGATGTTGTCTTGAATAATATTGTCTAACAAACAATTGAAATTACTGACAAAATAATTCACAATGCTGAACAAAGTATAATGCAAAAAAGTATAATGCGTCGCTTCATCAAGTATAAGCATTAGAAGCAAAAAAATAATAATATAGATCAAATAAAACTACAAAATGAACGCAAAGACAGGAGAAACCCCCGAAAAGAATAAAATAATGGTTTGATCTTGAAACGATCATTTTATTTGGAACAAACTTATCCACATATACATGATCTCTTAACAAGTATATGTGAAATTCTGATTTGTTAAACATCTAATCATATATCTGTGCATAACTAAATGTTCTTTTTCTTTAATACTTTTAGCTCTCTTTAACATCAGCTAAATACGACACATACAAAGAAGATTCTATTATTATTATTAGTAGGCATGCATCAGTTTTCTTCAATTCTTTGTGTATCTATTCCAAGAATAAATTTTTCACATTCTATTGAGAAATTAGTTTTGTTGGAAAGATCTACCTCTACAAAACATGGTCAATCATTAACAAACGCGCTGTCAAAGAACGCATTATTCTAAAGTTTTGAACAACAAGAAACACGTTTAAATGACTCTTTTAACGATTGTTCACTAAGGCGTTCGGCGAAAACACATTTTTCGTGGCGCTTCTAACGATTTTTTCTTGAAACTGAAACTTTTCGTTATTTCGAACTGCTAAGTACTCATTCTACTGCTCTCCATTAGTTTGTTGTCAGTTAATGTAATGTCAGAAGGATATGCTCGGATGAGAAAAATGAAAGAATAGTGGGGCAGAAGTCGAGGGTTCAAACCTCTGTATCTTCGTTCTGTTTTTATTTTTGAATCATTTCAAAACGCGTTAATTAACGTTTTCACTGCCGTTCAAATTCATCGAAAAAACGCGTTCTTTAACGCGTTGTGAAATTTCGAAAAACGCCTTTTCAAACGAATAGTTAAAAAATCGCGATCAGTTATTTTTATTAAACCGCTTATAACTTTACTGGACATCTCGTTTTGTAAGGCAAACTCTCGTGAACAAGAATGCACTGTCAGGAAAACCCTGAACAGGATTTGTTCGAAAATACAAACATTTTGCAAACATCATCAAAAGAAAATTGGTATGTGTGCGTAATTATTTGTTGTAGGTATAATATAATTAATGGAAAAATGTGCATGTAGAACAGATAATAAGCACTTGATCTTGGACTTTCTGTCAAATTATTTTACAGTTAGAGAGGAAACATGGTCTTTATCGCTAGAGTAATAATTTTCTATTCACATATGTTTTTTCTTGCCGTGTATTTACTAATGTCGCTTATACTCAGCTTAGCTTTATTTTCAATTTAAAAAATATGTCTATACTTTTTAGATTTAAATAACAAATTCAGATAGTGGACACCACAAAATAACATTATTTATACCAGTAAAACAGAGTACTGTATGCATGCATCTTTATTGTAGTTTTAATCCCAACGCTGAACGGATGGTACTCCCCACAAACCAGCCAAATTTGCTTTTGATCTTGGAGAGCCACGACGTTGTTTTTTCAGTATATTTTGATCATCGTCATAATTGTGTTTGTTACTGGCAATATTTTCATTTAATATTCTCGTTTGTGCTGCTAATAATGGATATCTGAATGAATTGAGTAGTCTGGCTGCATAATATGGGTGTGTCTGGACCGTGTTGACATCATTATTATGGTTATTGTAATCTTCTAACCCCATCGAATATACAGACCACAAAAATAAAAACTGTAAAAGTAATGAGGGAAAATTATTTTCAAACGTTCACTATGAATATTAGCCCAATCACTTGTTCGAGGGATATTTCGCGTACTCGAAAATGGGTCCTCACTGAGGACTCGACCCCCCGAAAAATGAGACTTCGGACCGTTATCGATTTCGAGCCCTTGGACTTCAGATAGGTAGCGAGCCGTCGAACCGAGATGTTCGAACCCAAGCAGACGAAAGGACTTCCGAGGCTTATATTTCGTTAGAATTGTCGCACTCAGTCAAGCAGATAGGAACTTCTTATGAGGATAGCCAGAAAATATTCAACAAGAATTTTTACAACGCTTTTCAAAAACATCTGTCTCAATATTTACCTGAAGAGTAATGAGCTGTATTACAAGTTTTTGGTACATCTTGCAAAGATATTTTTTTTGAAGGTGATGAACACTGAGGAACGTTTACAATGAAATGAGTGATGGAGATAAGAAAAGAGATAAGAACTATATAGTCAATTTTTCTGTTAATATCCGGGTTGGGTTAGAAAACTAATTTAAATTTTTTCAAAAACTATTTTTTTGTAATTATGATTGTTGATCAATAGAATTACTGATGTCTATTAATTTTATAAATTTTAATGAAGCGTATAACATTCACACGCCATCTGAATCAAATAAGGTACTTACCTTTATGATTTTTAAAAACCTTTCCTCAACCTTCGCTTATAAAACCATTCTAAAATCATAATTGCCAAAATAATACATGTAACAACGATCAAAATACTGGTAAAAGAGCAAAATTCATTGATATCACAAATTTAAATCTAGCAAGCAGCAGAGAAACGGGTATTATTAAAAGACACGAAAACCCACGAACATCCAGAGAACATCCAAAAAAGTGTGCCAAACCTGGCGATGACGTTGGCACACTTTTTTGGGTGTTCTTACCCTTTCTTTTCGGTGTTCTCTGGATGTTCATTGAAAATGTATGCTTAAAAAGCGAAACTATAAAAACCTTTTCGGGTGTTGGTTAGACTCAGCTCGACGAGCTCTATCGATTGGCTAAGTCAGATTTTAATTTGGGGGCATTTGTGGGTGTTCGTGTCTTTTAGTAATACCCAAGAGAAACAATATACGTATGTTCATTGATTTGTGTAATGAACATAACTTAAATACCGTAGGTGTGGAACAGTTCCAGTTATCGTTCCTAGTACCTGAAACTGGTCACCAGTTACTGTTTTCTTCATAATCGAGATGTAGAAAAGTTGATGTTCATCTATCTTGTTTTTTATACTGTAATAAACTCATCTCGTTCAGCACCCACAGACGATACTGCCATGTTTTCCACATAAACAATACACATATAGAAAATCTTTATTCGACAGTTTTTATGTATACCCTAGCTCCTTCTTTTTTCACTTTGTTCCCAAATGCTAACTTTTTTTCAGTTTTTTTGTGTGATTTTCAGCATTTTTCGTATATCTCAAGAAGGAAAGTATATTTTTCGGGAAAAAAATTTCATCCTGAGATAGGGTCTGAAGTATTTGTGGTAAAAATTTGAGCTCGATCGGACCATTT